AGAAGGTTGAAAGGATTACAAAAGCTCTGCACCTGTCTTCAGTACAGAGGAAGAAAAAACTAAGTACAGAAGTGTTTGGCAATGGACAGGTAAAGCTACGTGGGTTTGAAGCTGGAATTTCTTTAAAAGAAAGGTGCTCATACTCTCGGGTATCCATTTCCCAAGAGGAAAGAGCTTTTAAGAGCTCTTTATTTAAGTTCCAGATTTAACTCGATGAACAGTCACCTCAAGGAAGAAATTATAATTAAGCAGAAAGTGAGTGCATAAGGAATGGAAAGCATAGTGTATCAGCAAGGAAACCCCAAGCTGATCTGTATAGCAATGAAGTGAGCATTGCCAGAAGATAAGTTATATATAACCTTGCGGAGCACACCAAAGCAAAGAGGAAGGAAGTTCTCAAGTGTATAAATAAAAAGTGAATCCAGAAGAAAGAGACAAGCGTGCTGCTGTAAGGATGAATAAGAAATAAGAGATAACTGAGATGGGATGCCCAAATTAACTGAATACATTGCACTGTTTTTAGTCAAAATGAAGATGAAAAATGAGAAGTGGAAATTATTTCAAGTGCATTGGAAGTAAGCTTAAAGAGCTTACTACAATAAAGTCAGATTATGGCCATCAAAGAAAATGTCACTTGAAATTAAGGGTCTAGTAATGAGTGTTATGTAGTATCTACATTTAGCAATGAGCAAAAATGATTTACAGAAGTTCGGCATACAGAAAGAAAAGAATGCCTTTGACAGCCAAAGTGACAGAAAAGCAATAAAAATAAGTAAGAGAAACTACTGAAAGAAGCAAAAAACCTTCTGCTGCAAATTGGTATCTCATCAGTTGGAAACAGCTGAAGCACAGAAGCTGAGTGTGAAGAACTGCGAGTCACCTGCACCACACAGCTGTAGGAAGGCCACCGCAACCCCAGACCGTACTGCAGTTTTACAGGGGGGCATGCAGAACTAATCCTGTTGTCGAAAATGCTGCTGAGACTGAGACTTCGGCTGAAATACCGCAGGGTGCTCTTGCCACTCGTGCTCGACCCAAGCCAGAGCACCAGGGCAGGGGATGCGGCGGCAGGACAGGCGGGTGTCTCCGGCTCCTGGGAGGTGAGGCTGCAACTCCATCTCCTGGCCAAAGGCTGAGCTGCACGGGTTCCTGGGGGGGTTCCTGCTCCAGGAGTGTCCGAAAGCAAGGCAGGGACGGGATCCTATCCCACAGCGATCCTTTCCCAGTCTGTCTCCTGTAGTTTGTGCCCCAGGGTGACTCAGAACTGGATACGGAATCTCTGTGTGCAGCAGTTTGTTATGGAAAAAATAATTGCAGGAAAATCCTACCACTTTTAGAAACTCGCATGAACTTTTAGCATCCACAGTGGCCTGCACTGAGGAGCTCCACAGCTTGCCTGTGTGTTGTGTTGTGCCAGGAAGTACCTCTTCTTGTCTGTATTGAATTTGCAACCTATTAACTTCCTTCAATGCCTCATTTTTATACAAGAAGAGACGAAGAATGATCATTTCCTGGCTATTTCCTCCATGCCATTCATGGAGGACCTTTATCAGTTTGTAGTGATGGGAATAGCCATGGCTGGCAAGGCCACATCGTCCGATCATGGAAACCTGTACTACGAGAAGGAGGAGAGGTGTGCCACTGGGGGGACTTGGATGATTCCTTCCAGGTCCTGTCGTGACACAGAGTGGGCAGGCCCCCATTGGATCCGCACAGGAAACTGGGACACAGTAAGGCTTGGACTGGGGAAAGAGCCATAAGAGGCATCAGTGGCAGGGACAGTCGTAAGGCCAGGGGAGGGTATTGCTGGATCTGAGGCTGCTCCTTTTGCAGGGGAAAGGACAGTTCATGTGGATGAGAGAAGATGGATGGTGTATCTCTCTCGTGCGTTTCTGTAGGGAGGCAGCACTTGGGCCAGAGGGTGCTGGGAGAAGGCAGAAGGTGGGAGTCACTTCGTCCAGGGAGGGAAGGAAAACCTAAGCAAGACCTGTTGTTTACCTCCTGCTAAGGTGAGGCCAGAAGCATTGATGGGTAGCTGTTGTGATGTTCCTGCTAGACCGTTTGAGTCTGAGACATGGGACCTTCTAGGCAGAACGAGGAGGGCAAACATGACCGCTTGCACAGCTCTGTTTCCAGGTCTGCGGGCAACGGCAGTGCCAGGCTGGATGAACAGGGATGGCAGGCATTATCCTCCTGCTGAGGAGGGATATAAATTATAATAATTTATCCCTGGCTGACCAGGGTCCTCTCACAGCTCACGGGACAATGCTCGCAGTGCGAGGGATGCAAGCCTGCCCCTCCAGAGGAGAGGGTGCGCAGCACATCTGTGGTTTTGAGGAGTTCAAGTGAACACAAGTGTATGTGTGAGTGGAGTAGGTCCTGAGCTGGAACACGTCTAAGCACCGTGCAGTGCCGACGCAGCACTCTTCTGTAGAAGGGTAATAGCTGTAAGCAACGTGGACAGGAACACCAGCACTCCTGGGAGCCAGGCAGTGCCCCTGGGATAGACGCCTTTGACAATGTCGAGACAGGCTACACGAAATCTCCCCTGTCTGGACCCTTGGATTTCTTTGAAGAACTCTCACAGCTTTGTGAAAGGTAACTTTCCTTTGCAAAAGCTGCCTTTCCTATTATATCATATTTACCTATATGGCCATTAATTGTGTTCTTTAGAAGAGTCTCTACTAATTTGTGCTGTGCAGTTATGAGACTTAGTGGTCCGGAACATGAAGAAAATTGTATCATGTTAGCAACCTTCCACTCTTCTGATAACCGAGGCACTTTCCAGTGAGAGATTACATATCCTAGTTTGTAGCTGAGCTATTTCATCCTTTGATTCCTTTGGTGCTCTTGGGTTAATGTTACCTGGTCCTGTCAATTTGTTACTATCTGCTTTGTTGATACGTTTTCTAATCCCTTCTACAGAGATTTCAACATGAGACTGATCCTCCCTTCTGTGGGGAGGATCTGTATGTTCTGTATAAAGGTGGGTTCAGGGCAGGGATCACCCCAAGCTCCTATACAATAAACACTGATGCAGAGTAATTATCTGAGCACTCCTATTACTCACGGAGCATGCGCTAATGGACATGGACAACAGAAAGCTGAATATTATTTCTTATGCCTTTTGCAGTGTGTGACCCAACCTTTTTTAAAGATGGGCTTTCTGGTCTTAATAGCTTCTCTTCTGTCATTTAGCCATCCCAGCTATTTTCTGTTTTGTTTTTTTTTTTTCCTCATGTCTCTCTGTGAAGTTGCATGCATTTGCTTTGAGCCTCCAGTATGGTATTTCTAAATACTCTTCATGCAACCTGCAAAGGTTTTTCACTCTTTTACTACTTCTTCATTCTTACTTAATTTACCTGTTTTGATATTAAGCAGAAGTGTATTGATCTCCTCATTTTATGGTGCAATTTGGGGTGTGTATATGCTGAGTGTAAGTATACTACTTTCTTCAAAACATTATGAACCATAACAACTGCATACTGCTCAGGAACAAGCCAAGAGCTGGTTTTCCTACTAAAAGTTCCTAAATAGCTGTCTTATGAAGTAAACATTGATGAGGTCCCAAAACATAGTGCCAGTATCTTGTCCTGAAATGACATTTGCTTGAGAATAATTGGAATCTCCCATTACAATTGCTGTCCTGTAGTTTCTGTGATTTCATCCTGCTCTTGTCAAAGTCAGTATCTAGCTTTAGCAGCTGATAACGCAGCCCTAAGCTGGTACTTCCATCTGTGAAGGTTCTGTTTTATTTAACACAGTTAGTCTGCTAATCTGGTTTGACTATAGCAAGAATAAAAGAAGCAGCTGATGACTGGGATGACCAGGAGCCTGGGGAGCCTATCTGTAAGAGGAGCTTCCCTGTTTAATCTAGGAAAATGAAGATTGGGAGGAGAAA